GGGTGATAAAATACGAAACTAACTTTTCCTAAAAAACTAATTTCTATATCAGTGGGATTCTCCAATTAATATCCCATGATTCTAGGATATCCCATGATTCTAGGAAATTAAGTTTCCTAAACTGATGAGCCTAAAATTATGGAGAATCAATCAGAGAGTCAATCTTCTACTTTCCAACAGATCCATCAGCTAGTCTCACCTTGTCTCTTCCAGAAAGAAGGTGATAGGTTTGAAAGTAAGAGGACGTACCAATCGTGTTTTGACGTTCCAGAATCAATGATCCAAGGAGTGTCAGGGTTATGAGAAGCAACATGGAAGGTTGTGGCAGAGTTACCTGATGTAAACACAAATGAAGTTGAGGGAGGAGCATCCATCTGACAAATTGCTCTACCATAGAGCTCTAAATGGTCATAAAAAGAATTTATAATATCCTCCCTTGGGTCAGATCCAAATGGATGTGTCTGAGTCATAGTATGAATGGGGGGCTGATTCCCTTGAGTAGCCATGTTTGTCATAGTGTATTTTCTTGTACCGTGTTGTCCTGACTTTTTATTCATATCTGAACCTTGCTTCTTATTCAAATCTTGAGCCCATTTCGGCTTTCCATGAAAATCCCAGCATGTGTCTCGGGTGTGTCGGGGTTTCTGGCAATGAGTACACACCACAATTTGTCCTTGTCATCCATCTTTTTCTGAAGATCCCCCTTCTTAGAAGTATTTCCCCCACCGGTAGTAACACTCCCTTTCGCTGCCAACTCAACTACATCTCCTCTAGAACTGTTCATCAAATTCCTTCTGCTTTCTTCTGATTGTACAAGAGCATAAACTTCCTGAACTGATGGAAGATCCTTGCTACCTAGGATCTGGACTCTGATAGATTCATATGTAGGGTTTAAACCATGTAAGAAAGCAAACACTCTCTGTTGGGAGACGAGTWTTTTGTACAGTTTTGCATCTTCAYCACACTTCTAGTCCACACTCTGATAATGATCTAACTCCTTCCAGATAGAGGTCAAGTCTGAGTAGTACACAGATAGACACCTCTCCCCCTGTTTACAAGTAGACGATTCTGCTTGTAGCTGGTAGATTTTTGCATAGTGTCGCAGTTCGAATATGTTGATTTTGCTTGTTCCCAGATCTCATTTACCGTTTTAGCCCACATGAAATTCCTTCTTATTTGAGGTTGCATAGAAACCAAAAGCCAAGACATGACCATGCTATTTTCCTGGTTCCATCTGTCATATTCAGCACTCCTAGAATGTGGTTCTTTGATTCTCCCATTAATATAACCTATCTTTCCCCTTGTAGTGATGTACAACTTGGTCCCTCTTGACCACCCTAAATAATTTAAACCATCAAGAGGAATAACAGCCATGGGAAAGGATAGGTCCACACCCCSACTCATTCCATTCAGCATTGAGGAAACACCGGATGTAACAGAACCTTCACCACTCATGATTTCAGATTCAAAAACAACTCTTAAATGGGGTACACAGCCTTAAAGAAATTCAACACTGAGGGAGAACAATTTTTTTTTTCTTCAGAAACACACCTCCTTTTGTAAAACACAGGTGCTGTTACAGCACTAACAGGTCATCCCTTGACTTACAAGCTCAACGCATGTGTTGCCACAGTGCATACAGGTCATCTCTTGACCTACACATCAACAGGACTGCTGTTACAGCAAGTACTGGTCACTTTCTAACCTTCAGTTCACCATAAAAGCTATTGTTGCA